CTGTCACAGCAATTTTTCCTTCCAGCGCAACTATTATGAAATACTGCATCACAATTTACACCTTTTTTCACTTTTTTATTACAATATAAACAGAGTTCATTTGAACGTGAGTCCGTCTCGCCCGCCATCTTTGCTATGTAGAATATTGTTAGTAAAGACACGTCCGAAAAAACCATTGCATAGCGAAACACGTGTTGCGTTTTTTTAAAATTGTTTAGTGAAAATCTCACAATAAAATGTTTTTTAAATACGTTGGCTATGAATGGTCTCAAAAACTCAAGAATCAAAAAAACAGAGGTAGATATACAGTTTATTTGACTATATCATATACATATATATGCATATTCATAGCAAGTCATTTGGTCTCAAAAGATATCGAGTAAACTATTTAGTAATACACTAGTACATTTTCAAAAGTAATTGCAAAATATCGCATCACATAAACATAGAAAAATATAAGTAACAGTTAAACAATTAGTACATAAACGGTAAGTATGTTCTCAGAGGCTAAAGGTCACACCTTGAATATCTTCCAAGTACCTACTCATTGATTGAGTAAAAACTGTTTTTTAGCAAATACGATCTGATGGTTCGTTTAAACTTATTCACATTCATCGTTTTGATTTGATGAGGCAGTGCATTGTTAAGACTAAAATCTAAAGAATTTTTTTGTGAAATAGGAAGCTTATGTCTAGGAAGTCTGATCTTGTCAGAGTTTCTAGTGTTATGATAGCGAGTGAATTGTAAATGTATAGGGACGAAAGTATCATGATTCTGAGTTTGATGAATATAGGTCTACACGTATTTCTACACCCTAGATTACCTAATATTCTTATTGCCTTTTTTTGTTGAATGAAAATTACATTAGCAGCCGAGGATTTTTCCCACAGTAAAATGGCGTAACCCATATAGACTTAAACAGTGAGAAATAAACTGTTGTCAAAGTTACGTAGTTTGAAATATGCCTGAGCTGCCGCAGAAGAAATAATATGCTCGACAGTTTGTTTTAATTGATCAATATGAGCATTCCAATTCAGTTTAGAGTCTAAAGTTACACTAAGTAGCTTCACATTCTGGTCTAGTTGTTCACACTGACGGGTCGTTACCAGCAGCCTCTGAGACTTGTTCACATTAAGTTTCAGATTGTGGGCTCTAAACCATGTTCCAACTTTTTCTTCAATTTCTTTAGATCGATCTAATAAGACGTGGTTATCTGGACTTGAACATATAAATGACGTATCATCGGCAAAAAGAACACATTTGAAGGGAGTTAGAAAGTTACTTAGCTCATTAACATAAATAATAAATAAAAGTGACCCCAGGACTGATCCTTGGGGTACACCATGATTCATTTCCTTAAAATCCGATGTACTATTATTGAAACGAACTGCCTGAAATCAATTTTTCAGGTGGGATTCAAAAAGTGAAAATGCAACTCCTCTCATTCCATAAAAATATAATTTTTCCAGTAGAATTTCATGATCGACACAGTCGAAGGCTTTCGAGAGGTCCCACAACGTGATAGCTGTATGATTCCGTTGTTCAAGGCTCTCGACTATGCCACTGATTATATCCATTACCGCTGCTGTGGTTGAGCCACCAGCTCAGTAATTGTTTATACATAGTTACTTTCCAAAATGCATATATTCAAAAAAGTTTTTCCACTTATCAAGCATTTTCAGTATTCTGACACCCCGACCACTTGTACTCATTTTTATCAAAAATGTACATACACGAACAGATATTAAATATGAATTCAAATACTAACAACTGCCTTCCGTAGACAATCTGCAGTGTTGCCAAATTGATGGACGCAGCATTATTATTGAATTGAAATTTAAATATTCAAAACGAATATTTATGAGCGCCTCTGGCGGTATTCCTTCCAACTGAAAATATTCATTTTCTTTGAAACTTCCTTGAATTCTGCGTCCGAATGTAATATCAATATGCAGCAATGTTTTCTGATTGGCTGTTGGAAAATGGTCCGAACGAAAGGGGTGGTTCCGATAACCAATCCTCCAACAGAAAAATGCGTTAAGGCGAGTTCATATTAGAACGATTGCGATAATATTTTTGCGGTTCAGCAAATTTGCCCCAATTGTCAAAATACCCTGTTCATGTGGAAACAAGCAGTTCATATTGAAACAAGCAATATCTAGGGATTTTATTGTTGAATTTTAAATTTCATTACACGAACCAGAATGATGAAATACGACTCATACAACTAACGACTTTTAAGACAAGACCCCATCATATCAGAAAATAGGACTAACAATTCTCTCAAGTTTTGTTTAATAGGAGCGTGTCTTGAAACCACTTATCTTAACGTTACTGCTAACTTAAGTGTAGGAGCGTCGCGCAGTTTTTGATGAGTCATATCATTCTTAACTTGGATGAAATGAAATTTGTTACCTTTCACTTAGTCTTTTATATTTGTTGTCAGTAATTAAAAAGACATTTTGAATTATATATGGAACTGTAAATATATTTTTTAAACATAATAGCACAAAAATGAAAAGGGAACTCGGGTAAATTTATCGAGATTGGCTCGCGAGCCACAGGTTGACCTTCTCTGGTATATGTCTAAATTTATATTTATTCAAGGGAAGTTACTCCTAGCATAACTAATGTTACCTACTGTTAATTATGATCAGTTTATTCATGTAAAAATACTCAGATATTTAGGTTGTAATAGTTTATTATGAAATATACAAATCATACTATTTTTCAAAATGGCAAAAACATGGGTGAAATATGTACAAGCAGTACTGGAAATTAAAAAACCATGGGATCTATGAATTGAAAAGGATTAGTTACATCATTTGGTATAGATAAATGTTCTCAAAAGTGAACCAAAAACATGTTTTTGTTTTCATGGAAGTCACAGAAAAATAAAAAAATAGAAAATATGTTGCCCGATTGTATAACATAAAAATATTACATAAGTAAACTTATTCAAAAAAGCTGCTCAAAACAGTCTTAACTTTTTATGAATATTTTCTATGTGTTTCACTCCTAAAAATATAACCCCTTCAATTCATGTAATTTATTTTTTTCATGTTTCCAGTAAGAGCATTTTTGGACTTTTTCAATATGTATCATTCCAAAGAATTTCCTTTTCTTGGTATTTCGATCTGATGATTTGTAGTTATTTTATGCTTTTTTAATGTCGTTCCATATGTGTGCAACGACCTTAAAAGAACATAATTTATACAATACACAACCACAGAAAGATATACAATCAAATTAGGAGGGATATTTTCCCTTTAGTCAATATCATTGACACATAGAACACATATGATCAAATAAAATGCTCGCCATCCATTAGAATAACAATAGAGAAGAACTCTCCTTCTCATTTTGACCAAGCAACCATAAATTCAACTTTGTGCAAAACTTCTCTAAGAAAATATCTCAGCTATGAGAAAAGTAAAAGGCAAAATAATCTCTTATTTTTTACCTAAGAGGTGAGGAAAGTAAGCAAAATAAATAATATTTCTGAGATTCAAGTTGAATAGTTTTAGTGGTAGATTTGATGAGATTTGGTGACCTGTTGAAATAAATAAATATGCAAACCAAAATCTCATTCAGAACATGATTTGCTATAACGAACCAGCACAGCTGGTTCATATTGACATATTGATGTCTTCAAACCTACATAATATAATCATGATATTAGACTAACATGATCTTCAAACATGACTCAACCTCTGACGGAAACAACAAACTCTTACGAAGGTTCGAAATAGATGAACACTTCAATCTAGCAGACCACTATTATAATCTGCATGCAATCATTGTTCACTGTGGTTCTAGCGTTGAATCTGGTCATTATTACGCCTTGATCAAAGGTGAAACGGACTGGTTTAAGTTTGACGATAGTCGTGTCACTAAGTATTCTGGCGATGTATTGAATTTATTGAAGCCTCTGGAGACATTTTGTTTTGAGCGCCAATTAATTTTTGTTGTTCTATAATTTCATGACTTGTATTCAAGAGATGTTGAAATAGAAACACAAATATGATCATATCGTATTCAATGAATATCTACCACTTCAACCTTTCTAAAAGTTATAATAATATTCACAAATTGAGATATAATAGAAAGGGATATATTTTTAGGAGAATTAATTTTGGGGTAAGAAAGGTTTTGGCTTTCTTCTTCTCCATGTTCATACACGTTATTGTACAAGATAAAAGTTATTGAAAATAGTTTCGTAACTTACAAAATTTGAATACAAAGAGATAAGTGTTGATAACTGTTGAACAAAAAAATATTCCTGTTTTGACAACATATCATTTTGATGGAAATATATTCCCTGACCTCGTTTGATACTATGGAAAAGTTAATTTCTTCAAAGATCTTAAATAAATAGTAGACAATATTTTGTCTATAATGGAATGATGAAGTTCTTTTCCTCAATAATCTCATATTATCTATGTTGGAGTTTTTAAAGAAAAAGACTGCAAAAACAAGAGAGCTATGAAAAACACTCAACTATATCTCTTTTATAATACTGATGCAAGGTTCCTCAATGAGGACCTTTTCAAGACTAGTACTTATAATTAAACATGGTTTTTCATTCAAGTTTTCGAGAGAACTTATGTGACATTTTTTAAGCAAAAACAAAAAACTATTTGAGTGTTCAGCTGCCTCTATCACAATAATTATTTTTTGTCAATGATGGATTTTTACGTTTAACCAAGACTGCATGTACATTAAAAATAATATCATCTAACCTAATATTCTTAACATATAACATATTAGAAAAATATTCAATTCCTTTGCTTTTGTTTGTTAAATGAGCATTATTGTTTAGGGAGCAGTACTTGTATCATTTGAAAAAATAAACAGCTAGTCATTAATACAATCTCAAATGAGACACCTATCACAATTCTGAAGATGAATTAAAAACTGACACAATACTAATTGAATACTCTCCCTGAACATCTAGTGAATGATATGCCAATTCTAAATAGAATATTTTCAGTCAACACTTGGGGAAACAATTTTCGTAGCCTAGTCCTAGACTACGAAATCATAGCCCAAGGACAAAATCTTATGTGATTTATATCACGGGATTCTGAAACTTTCCATTCAGCAAGTTAATGTGTTAAAAGAAATGTGTATCATACAGACGTCTGCTGGACTACATTTGCATAACTATTCAACGGTTTATGCTCAGTTTCACACTCTGAATCCTCAATTTCGCAAAGATTAGTGGAAAGGTCACTATTACTCACATAACCACCAAGCAAAGAATGTCTTTCTTCTGAAACAAAAACAAAACAAATTACAATATAATTCACAACATTCCACGATTGAGAAAATGAAATAATAGAAACAAACAATTCTTATACAACATAAAAGCTAATTGCATATGAATTTAAGACATAATATATTTGTTTTCACATGATTATTTCGAAAAAACTCGAACTATTATTCCCCTATCATACAAAAAAAAATTCTGGAGAAAATAACTACTCCGCAGACTGATGCCTGGTGATTTTGAATTACATAGATACTTGTGCAAGTTTCCTTATAATAATATTTTCCCAAGAAACATACAATGTTTATAGCAGGGAAAAAGAATGATAATTCAAAAACTAACTATAACATAACTAAGTACGAACAGAGCACAAAAAAAAAGATAAATCAGAATTGAAACTTGGAGAAAATATAAATTTACATATACACATATACATGCATATACACATATGCAGGCTATTTCAAATTCGATCCTCACCACTGAGATCTCGGAAAATATGGGAGATACGAAGATGGTTAAATTGAGGCAAAATTGCGCATTTACCTGACTAACAATATGCCGTTGAGAAAGTTCTGAAATTCCGAGTATATCCGGAGATATCCAGAAAAAACAAAAATTTCGGAAAATGGTTTTTATTTTTTTCTGGCTTTATTTTTCGAGGTTACAAGTGCTTGGATACATCTCAAAAAAACCGGTTTAAAATGTTACAAAATACACATATCTTAAAAATTGCATCCAGGTGATCCCGAAAGACGATTAGACTTTTGTAAATGGCTAACAAGAAGACCTAATTTTCCTGGACAGATGAAAGTACTTTTACGAATTGTGGGATATTCAACCGAAATAACGAACACGTTTGGAGCATAAACAACCCCAGGCAGTTCCGAGAAATTCCACCTCAAGTGTGATTTAGTATTAACGTGTGGGCCGAAATTTACAAATATAGAATTTTAGATCCTCATTTATTTGACGAAATTCTGAATGGAGAAACCTATCAGCAGTTATTAATGTCGATTTTCAAAAACTATTTGGATGATCTACCTTTGGCTAACTATAACATCTGGTTTCAACATGATGGTGCTCCACCGCACACTACCAGATGAGTATAAATTTGTATATCTCTTTTTTCTTCATTCGTGAAAGCCATTTTTCGCCAAAAATTCAATGACTTGTAACATGTAATTGAGTGTAACAAATTGAAAGTCAAATTTAGAAACATCAAAGTCAAAGCCTATTGTGATAAGAATTATTTTTTTTCAATATCTCCAATTTTTCAATAAAGAATGATAACTTCGAAAAAGAATGATAACTACGAACGTTCTCACGCATGCACGAACGGATGCACACAACCAAGTTAGCAAATGACTAAGACCCCCTGATCAAGCTAACTTAGTTAGCAAAACGCACAGCGAGAGATAGTACTTTTGCTATGATGTAGGAAGAATGTTTTAATAGATCTACCCAAATTATTGAACAAACTACTTTTCAATGTAATAACCATTAAAGAAATTCAACAAAATAATAATGAAACAAATCATAATAACAACATTACCATTTTTAGCCGTAATTACCATTACGATACAAATGCGTTCAAACAATAACCTCATATTAAAATTGCCAAATGAAATATCAAAACAATTATTATATATTCAGGTTGTATCTTAAAAGATGTCATCAATTGCAGGTGGTGATTACTTGTCATGTTTTATGAAAAAAGTTCATATGCAAGTGTGTACTAACTTGCTACGTTTCCAAGTAACGAGGTGTCACAGTTTTACTAAAAATATTGTTCTTTTATGATTAACTCAAAAGTCTTTTCGCCGATTTTAATGAAACTTGGTGTGTTTGTGAGCAGTAACAAGGGGCTTCTTTTGATGAAATAAGATTACAGATAATTCCACAGATTGATATTTATGGTAAAATTCATTGTACGCCACTGTTTTTCTCCAAGTTTGATAATTTTATCAGATTGAATAAATTATTAAAAAAAAACGTGTTTGAAGACAAGCTTTAATACAAATGCATTAAAAATGAAAAACTGATTCATTTTATAGTTTGATCTAGGTTATTCTGTGAGTAAGAGGCTTGCCGCAGAACATGTCATCAACCAAGACCACAAGATGGAACTTTGAGGAATTAAAAATGTAATCGAAAGATAAAATTTCAAAAATGGAAGAAATTGAAGGTGAAAAAGACTGACTGAATAAAAAACGGACATAGATCAAACAAATTCTCAGCTGTATATGTGTGTACTGAAATTCTGAAATAATGAAATTATTATTTTTTTCACCGAAGGGTAAGATGATCGGGCCCTATTCCCGAAGCTCAGACACATTCAGGAAGGCGCGCCAGCATTATTAACCAATGACTACTTCCCACACCTCGGGGTAAGAGATCATTGGGTCCGAGAAATCATGTGCCCTGAGCAGACACAATGACCTGAAATGACAGCCTGCTCCATTTTTTCGGTCAAGATTTCTGCCTTCATGCGGCAAGCCAGCATGATCTCAAGATTTGAAAGTGGAGAGGGCATCATTCCACCAAGGACTCCAATAACCAGAACAACCATCTTGACAGAGAGGTCTGGATAGAGCCTGTGGAGTTCAAAGAAAAAATCTCGATATTTCAACCATTTATCTTCTTTTTTCGGAAGATATTCGTCATGCCAAGAGCTGAAAACCCCACGACAAATATCATCTTGCTCTGATGGTCGATAAGAACTACATGAGCCTGAGGGTGAGAAACGATTAGTGCGCTCACCAAGCCATCCGAGTGTGAAACGCCAACTGGTGAACGAACGGCAGAATGTCTCGATACAAGTATTGAAATGACCTTCAGGGGACTGCCCTGAGACTGAGACTTGCAGTTATTCCTCTAACCACTGGGTCTCCTTGAGGACTGAACGCTTCAATGCATAAATCTGTTGACTGTGGCGTTCAAGTGTATAGTAGTGGCCGGTAAGCGTTCGAAGATATGAGATACAAATTACTAGCACGCTAGATCGCATGGCCATATGTCTATGATGTTACTAGTGGTTGGGGGAGGTCTAGAATCGGGTTTAGTTTCCAAGGTCATGTGACGTGCGACCCAACAAAGTGGTCGAATCGTTGCGGGTTTCAAAGTCACATCATAGGCGGAGGACTAAAATGGAGTTTTATGGTAATGACGTAACTCAAGGTCATGTGACGTCACACGCAACGCAAGGCCAAGTTATAGACGGAGAGTGGAAAAAGCGTTTTAAAGTCGAGGTCAGTGTGGTGGCCCTCGGGGGGATATTGGAAAGGAGAGTTTCAGAAACGTCATTTGCACTCTACTCACATATAAAATATCTCAATGAGAACTAAAAAAATCTTACACAGTGTCATACAAAATTAATATAAAGATATTAGTCAATGAAACAAACATAGTTAATTAATAATTTTTTTGTTTTTCTTTCAAAAAAAGGTTGGTATAACATGAAGTGAATTCGATAACTAACTATCTAAACAAATTAAACAAACTCAAATGACCTCTTTTATTGATTTCATCTAATGCAAAATATGAAAAAAACATTCTCAAATATAATATACCAATAAAAGGTCTGTAAACGATACTGAAAAATCAGAGACCATCGTAACATCTACAGTTGGAATGTTATGAGAAACGTCTTTTTGAAAACCTTTTTCCATTTTATGAATATTAAACGCATTATTTGGCATCAAAAGTAAGTAACAAAATATGGTAAACTCTTTCATACTTCAACTTGAACGTACAAAGTAAAAAATGAAACACTTAAGCACCCAAAAAAATTCAAATGAATGCTAGGAATTTTAATTATGTTTTTTATAGAAAGGGATGTTAATTTATGTTGTATTTTGAGCATTCATTGTTGAAATCGTTATTTGTCTTTTTACATAGTTGAAACAAGATTAATTTTTTTCATGAACATCCTTACTAGGACATACTCTACTCAATATATATGTGAAGTTTGGTTGACAGTGAAACATTAACGTGGAGGTTTCATGCTGCTTAAAATTTACAGGCATCTATTTAACTTGTCTGTAGAAATAAAATTTCATTGAATTTTGTAGAAATATTTTGATAAAAACTTCAATTATATGTACCAATTGTAGCGTTAATGACTCAAAAGTGAATAAATTTAACTAGCAATTTTTAAAAGATAAATTAAATTCTATCACTATCTCCCAAAATAATTGAAAAGCCGATGAATCAAAAGATTGTTGCATTATGGTCATTATGGATTTCATCTTGCTTCTGAAAGTGGGAACAAATTTTAGTCAAAATAAATTTTCTGAAAAGATACCGGATATTACAAGAAATTGTTCATTACTCAACATCGTATAGTGAATTGACACTGAAAAATAGTATCAAGAACATATTTATCTATTTTTTCTCCACTACAAACATTTAGGTATCCATGTTTTTTGAGATTTAAATTTTGTAAAATTAAATTTCTAGTTCATTTCAAAACCAATTCCAGCAATGAAAGTTGTTGAAATTAACGTATTCTTAGTAGGGTAGGTAGGTAGTTGAATCCAAAGTGAGTCAGTCAATTCGATCCTCTACTACAATGTGCAAGGGTGGATGACACCTATTCAAATTCAACTTAATAAATCCAGCTTCTCAACAGAACGGATTACTCAATTTTTCAGGTCAGGTCTTAGTAGGGAGAAAATGATCTTAAAACCGAATCAAGTTATAACGAAATTCTGTTAAAAATGTATCATTTTCGTTGAACTCACCTAAAGTTGTGATTACAGATGTCATATCATCTTCACAATTTTTGATTCTGTTCCGATTACTTGGAAATCCATAAGGTTCAACATCATCTGATTCTGCACCAGGACTTTGTAAGCTATCACCCTCTACTTCGTTTGTGATATTGTATCCATGAAGCGGAAGATACGAATTTGGGTGACGTATATAAATCTCAGCTGGAAGAGAATAAAAATGTATTAGGTCATTAGATTACTTCATTGATGTGAATCAATTGATTATTTATTTTGAAATGCATTATTACCAAATGAAATATTTCAATTCATACACTAACAAATACAATAATAATAATACCATTTATTAACTTCTCTTGTTGAAAATTATAAAATTCATTTCAGAAAATAGTACACAGTAACAAGGAAGACGTCCATAGGGTGTAAAATACAATAATCGTAATACAATACAAATTAAAAAACATTTTCAGTCAACCATACACATGGACTGTAAAACATAATAAATATATTACAATACAAATCTACAACATTTATAGTCTAACATACATATGAAAGGGTAGATTGTTTAATAATAGCTGTTCAGCTAGAGTGAAGAACTATTGATTTGAAAAGAATTCATTGATGGCATAGCAGTTTATTTGATGAGATAGGCTTTCAATCGTGCTTTGAAAATCGATATATTAGGCGATTCTCTTATTGTCCTGTCCAACTTATTGAAAAATTTTGGGCCAAGGTATAGATGACTTTTTTGAAAAAGTGCGGTTCGATATGCTCAAGTTGAGTAGCCATGATTTTGTTGATTCGCTTCAAATGAAGATCTATTTTTGAATACATAAATACATGATTCATATACATACAAACTACTTTCGCACAGGCACCGCTCTTAGAATGTCTTAAGGATTTTTCTGTAGTGCTTGTGTATTATCTTAAAAAAAGTAGTGAAATTGTGTGTTCATACGCGCGAGCGTATGTGCGTGTGTGCGCGAGCGTATGTGCGTGTGTGCGCGAGCGTATGTGCGTGTGTGCGCGAGCGTACGTGCGTGTGTGAATGTGTACGTGTTTTTATAATATAAATTTGTGATATCCATAGTAACTTTTTTAAAAGAATAATATCTCTCACAATATATGTCTTTCACAATATAAACTTTATTAACAATATGCCAGTCCCACCGATGATGCTACTAGGTAATTCAACGCGTATTGGAAATAATTTGTGAAAATTCATAATTACTATCATGAATAGTGTTATTGGTTTTCACCAATTGAAAAGGTCAGTATATTCAAAAAATCTACAACTGAAATTTCAAATGAATCATTTCCTCTACATTAGCTTTGTCCCATTACTAGCTCTACTGTACTAATTCTAGGTTTTTGTTTACTTTATCAATCTTATGTTTAATTCATGCTCAAGAAAAATTCAACTGATGCTCATACGGTATTCATTTTGCAGAAAAAGGGAATAATACTTTTTGCTGGTGTCAGATATAGAAAATCTTGTGGGAATCTATTCATACAATATAAAATTATGTAAGTAAGTTTGTTGGGAAAGGAAGGTTTCAGATTTCTATTTTCTCATCTTTATACGTATGTTTGTCTTCTTGAAATTTATAACAAGGTTCTTCTATTTCAGAAACACTCTTATATATACACATATAATACTCGAAGATTCACTTTAATGAGAACACAACCAATTTTGTTTTTTTGATTTTACATCATAAAATGCCCTGTCTGCCCACATTAAAAAGAATATGTTGTTTTTTTAAATATCAGTTTTACTGTCACACTTTTTCGTGATACAGGAACATCCTCGCCAGACTCCACATTTGAACATTGAAGAGGTGGTGATGTTTTTCATAAGTTCCAGTGTACATAAATGGTTTTATATTATTGGGTATTTAAGGTATCCTGTTCGCTGACCTGCTACAAACAATAACATTTATAATGTAGTGAATAAACTAATTACAGTAGAATTCATATATAACGACTCCGCTTATAACGACTATCCGTTTACAGCAACGATAATGTTTACTCAAGTTTAGTTTCATATTTAGTAATTGAGAAAATATACCATTTACTGCGACTATGGTTTAAGCGACCAACCGCTTATAGCGAGCGTTTTTCATGATACTACATCCGGTTAAAACGTCGCGCAATGTTTTGTTTACACAATCTGCGCACCAATACCTCGGCGCACTCCTTCTTCTTAGATACGTCTAATGATAGATACTACTAACAGATATTAATAGATTGATTTTATGCCAGAGGTTCCAGTATGAAGTCTTTGTCACTTGTAAGTCCATAACGTTCGACAAAATGAATTCTGTGAATCAAAAGTGTTTTGCAATTGAAGAAAAAAGTGCAATATTACAACGATTAGAAGCTGGTGAATCAAATGCAGCCCTCGCAAAGGAGTTTGGCGTATCCCATTCTACAATATTCACAATTAAAAAGAATGAAGATAAGATGGAGTCGCTGTTCAATGCCAACGTTTTGAAATGCAATCGTGTAAGGACTTCTACTCATGAGCAGTTGGATAAGGCATTGTTACAGTGATTCAAGCTTCAGCGTGACCGGAGAATACCCCTTAATGGACCTCTGCTTCAAGAGCACATTCCCATATTATAGACTTGAAAAGCATAATGCTGGTGTTTTTGCCTCCAAACAGGACATCAGTGTTGCAACCCATGGACCAAAGGATCATTCGAACTTTGAAATCACATTTTCTTAAAAACGCTAACGACGCGAATAGCAAAGATAATGAAGGTGATGATGCCGCACCAGAGGAGATTTATCCAACCTTGATGTGTCTGAAGCTCCGAAGGCTGCGGAAACGCTCAATGTGTTTGTTCAGACTAACTTGGATGATAATGTTATGAAAACAATGATGTCGCGAATTCATAATGCTGTACGAAATTCTTACTACCAATCAAAAGTTTGTCAAAAACAAACTCAAATAACAGACTTTTACGTTAGTAACACAGTTTTTTCGTGAAATGCGTGTGTATTTTATCTCTTTGTATTACAGTACATATGTTTGTACAGTAGGATATTTAAGAACTATTAAAATAAAGCATATGTGATTCCTATAAAATGTTTTATTCACCTATCGATCAGCAATCCAACAGCTAAATGAAATACTAGAGAACTAATGATGATTCACTACATGAAATGCATTTAGGTGGCATTCGATTTTTTCCAAAATATTCTCCTTAGCCCCCCATCTTTTCAACATATTGATTACATCAGTCAAAACATAAAAGGTGAAGCAACTATTGGATTTTTTTCAAGAAAAAAACAACAATTAAAAACCAGCTTATGAGGAACAATGTATGTCGTTAAAGAATGTTTTAATGGGGGGTAAATGTTAAATTCATCATTTACCTGGGGTGAAACCATAATCATCATTTCCTGTGTTTAGGGCATTGATTGGTTCATCAGGACTCATATCGCGTTCAGTTTCAATATCTTCAGTAAGTGTCCCAATGTGTCGCTGTGGGTCAATAGGGGCAATCACTGATGAATACATATGGCATCGAGACTCATTGCTTTCATTGCTGTGGAAGCTGGAAGAATCAGGGACTTCACTTCCTGGAACTTCCGTTATATTGGGGAGTGTCTGACTATGACGTACCCAATCGGAACAGTCCCAATGATAACCTGAAATTAGCCAATATTCAATTTTATGTATATTATATGCTCTTACCAAAAATGAACTAGGTAAATCAGTCGGTAAATTCCCGTCGAATTATTACCTACTAATTCAGAATATTGTCTCTGGACGTTAAAAGAAACCAAAATATATTTATTTCTATTCAAAATACTGAGTCATGAAGTCAACTTTTCTGAACTCCTTACAAGGATAAGATATAATGTACCTGCAAGAAGAATAAGACATTCTTTTATGTTTAATATACCCCTAGTTTGTGCTACTGTTAGGTCACCGCTCATAATCATGTTGCGAGTAGCCAATACATTCAACTTATTGATGGATATAGATTGGACAGATTCATTGAGCACTTTTAGAAAATTCGTTACACAGTACATAAGAAACTTGAATTGAGCATGTATTAGATATTAGACTTTAAGCCATACAAATGTATCAATTTAAATTTATATTTTTTTATTCATGTAATAAGGCTGTGTAGGTATGTTTGAATAATAAATAAATAAATAACTCTTTTATAAAATTCACAGTTTCTTTTTAACTGAACAAGAGTGGTATCCTCTTTTGATCCATTCATCAAGCAATTATTTTAGTACAACTAACAATGCAAAGCAATAGGTCATATTTTGGAACCTTCTAGCAATTTTGGATATTTTCAATTTGTTTTCAAAGGAAAACACTTTTTTGAAGGGTGAAATAGACTTTCATTATTATAATAATGGATGTTAGTAAAATGTAAAAATATCTTACTTTCAATACTTCTTTGTTCGTCTTCTCCACATGACAATCCATTTGGTCTAACATTGATAGTATTAGCCCTATTGTTATACAATCTATTTGCTGTATCGCAGCTGACAGGACTTGAAATTTTGAAGTCTGGTATATTACCATTTTTAATTTTTGACTTATCTGCAAGTGATGATGCTAAATGCATTTGTTCAGCCCACGTGGTTTTATCTGAATCACAATTATTACTCATACAACCAGGAGGTGTATTTCTGTTCAAATTCTTCACATAATCAGGGGGTACATTTTCTAACTCATCTCCTGCAGATCCGTAGCTTCTGAGAGTATCTAAGTTATTCAACATGACATGAGCAGCATTGCAGTTGAATAATGATTCATTCTGAGAATTTGCAGTGTACGAAACTGGTCGTGGCGCAATTGGAATTTCTCTTTGGTTTACTTCAAGATTGCTGAGTTTAGATCCTCTTTTATATTCACATATTTCCTGTGGTCTATTGGAATTAAGAACAATATTGTCTTTGAGATTCTTGTTATGTGCATTACGTTTATTTTTTTTACTGATATAACACTTGCATGAAACGCATACTATGATGAGCAATATTATGATAGTTGCTCCACTACCAAAATATACAAGTTCTTCCCATGTGATGTTGTAGAATGTTGTGGAGATAGGGGTGTTGAATATGATATTTGCACAATAAGTTCCCGTTACATTAGGTGGGCAAACACATTGAAATGAACCAAATTCATTCAAGCATGTTCCCCCATTTTGACAAGGCGAAGAATCACATTCATTCAGATCGTATTCACAGTATTCTCCAAAAAACGATCTGCATTTGCATAGAGGTCCATCATCACCTTCTTCACAGACTCCTCCATGTTTACAAGGGTTAGGTGAACAATATCTACCATATTCACATCTTTTCCCACTGAGTCTCAAGACGCAATCACATACAAAATCACCTGTGATAGTAGGGGTACATTTCCCACCATAAAGGCATGGAGCAGAGGCACATGGATCACTGTCATGTTCACAAAGGGTTCCCTTATATCTTTCATGACAATCACATTCATAACCATTTTTAGTTTCTCTGCAAGTACCACCATTCATACAAGGTTGCGATCCACACGGACCTGGTGGTATAAGAATGGTACCTATGTCACAACTGAATTCCACATTTGCAAATCTTTTCAATATAACTGCTAAATTCTCTCCCGATTTATGTAATGGAACAGATACTCGCGATATTTTTATATCATCCATGCATCCAGAAAAACCTCTTTGAACATCTTCGAATCCTAGAATAGATGGATGTTGATGGACTTCTGCTCCTAAATACATTTCGTCACTTTGTAAATTGAGGATTTCGCTTATTCCTGGAGCAGAACCTTGGGCAGTGTATGTATTATCAATAACGATTTTTGCAGTATTACGTTCTCTTTCTAATTTGACTTCATGCCAGCTACCATCAGAAACATAAATATCAGAAACTCTAACTATACCTTCTCCACTGCCCAAGTCATATCTGTACTGAACTCCACCATTAACAACCTGAAAAATAAAGACATTTATTCAATAAATATGCAGACTTTGTATTTGTGGATTTTTACCTAATACTACAATTATATAATCTTATCGACATAGATTTGGCCAATATCATTGAATATAATCATTTTCATAAAAGATAAAACTGGAACCTTTGGTATAGAATAAATTCAAAACAAGCACTTTTCTCAATCATCAGAAATGCGATACTTTTCCCGACGCGCGTTTGACCAACTAAGTTGGCATTTTCAGGAGATGAAGAAAACCGATTTCTAACTGTTAAACTGGTCTCAATTTATATCTAACAGAGTGCACTTTCACTATCCGATACACACCAATAATTTTGGGTATAAATTTGGGGGAAATTTTCTCTTGAATGTTTTCGAAAATTTCAACAGGGTGATTCATAAAAAGGAATACAATGAGCATTTTGGAATAGGACCTTCGTCACTGTTCATAGTTCTCATGCCACACTTTTACTATTCAAAAACAATCGAAAGCATCCAAAAATCTATTGCCATCTACCAATCCCAATAATTTCTGACAGTTTTCATTTATTCTGCCGCATTTCACCAAGGCGTGTTGAGCAACAGTAGATTTTTCTGGTCTTCAAAATCATTGATCTGTATCAGAAAGTGAAAATGCATTCTGTTAAATATTAATAGACACCAGTTTTATAGTTAGCAATTAGTTTTCTTTATCTCTTGAAGTGAATTTTTCTTTAGAAAAGATAACAGAAAACCAACAAAAAAAAAATTACCAAAAGCTAGTAAATATACTTTGAAACACATTTTGGTGAAGAAGTCAAAGTTTCTTACTATTTCCTGAGTGCATAACTTTTCAAATATAACTTTTTGCAATTTGTTACAGTCAGGATTTCATGGAAAGTGGTATAGTCTGAAGTAATTTAATACCTGTGACTGTAACTCATTGTTGAAATACTTGTATATACTATTTATGTATAAAAATATCCATATCTCATGTTGAAGTAGTTTTTTTGGACATATGGTGATATAGTATAATTCTAGGTTATTGATTCACAATCGAATGCGCTGAAAACAATAAATATCATATTTCATGATAAACATAATGGAGACCATGGTATAAATCCATATTTCGAGCCCCCACTGATAATTTATTTCATTTCAAGTATCAGCCACGATCGCAAAAATATCGGTAGTATGACTTCAAACCGCCATAAGAGTCGCACCAGTATTTCTACAATTAATAAAAGTACCATCATTCATCATCACTGGGTTGATTCTAAAGGTCATTTTATTTTGCAACTTTATTCAATTATTTGGCCAAACGTTCTTTTCATCATTTCATTAAATGTTGCAATGCTTGTTATAAGGTTTCTTCAATTAAATGATACAACTCTGAAGCTCGAATGTTCATAGTTCTACAAGAAACACGGTTAAGGCTAAAGTTTTCTTCTTGTGAATATTTCTATTCATTCTTTTTGTGAGGAAACAGTTAACGGTCGATAGTGAATATAATTTCCAAAACGAAAAGGAAATCGTGTATTTTTAATTATATTGCAATTACTTAAATGAGTTTTCCTAGAATGGAATAATTGAAAATTTGAATTTGCATAAATAATACTGAGAACTTTCTATATTTTTCACCACTTTTATTTGTAACTAACGTTACTGCAGTTTCGTCCTATAAGGACATTTTCAAACGTATACATTAAACTAACAATTGTTCATTACATTAGCCTTTATATAACACCCCTCTAGGTGATAATAGAGGTACTTGGCTTGATAATCAATTTTGCACTATGCAAGGAAGGGTTACAAACTTAATTATTTAGAATCCTTGGAAATTCACAAGCATAAACATTGCGGGTGCAACCTGTTGAATGATCAAATCGATTTAGTTTACTTACCGATTTTCAAATTAGCACATCCACATAGTAAATTGTAAATTCAGGTACTCAATCAAGCCAAGCATCTCTATTATTACCTACAGCGGTGCTATATAAGGGCTAATGTAATGAACTATTGTTAGTTTAATGTAAAAGTTTGAAAATGTCCTTTTAAGACGAAACTGCAGTAACGTTAGTTACAAATAAAAGTGGTAAAAAACATAAAAAGTTTCAATTATATTTTTTTCATTATGAAAACTATGTCTTTTGTAATGTATGGATGTGTTCGTCAAAATTCTGGAGACCCAGAGATATCTGCCTTTGCCGTTACTGAGAGTGTCACCACTTTTTCCACTACAATAGTGGAACGACTGGAATTCTGCCTACCGAGTCAGTGTGCTGTGATTGGTCGAAAACATTTGGACTTTTTCTGGAAAATTTTGCGGCCCTTCCTTACGGATCCAGATTTGAGTAAGTTTATATTTTTAATCTGTTATATATTTTACAACCTCTTTACTTGATTTAATTCCCACTCTATATACTTTACTGTACTGAAATTTAAATATTGTAGTAAAGATAGGAGATTGATTTTTAAGAATATAGAATTAAATAGCTTCATTTATGTACACCTTCTGCAATTGCATAATGGTACCCGTCACTTTTGGTAAGCTACCACTTTGGTGCTCAACCTATGACCTACTTTTTTTAGTAGCACCTAGTGATCTAGAGTTATTTAATTCAATCAATTCTGGTATATCACTGCATTGGTGAGAGTTGGGGTCTTAAATATTTGTTTTTAAGGCGATATGCATTGTGATTTCAATTATGCACTATTCAGTGAATGTGAACCGTATTTTACATCTTATGTGACTCAATTGAACCACTTATTCCCAGATTGTGTTGATATTAGATTGTTATTGAGAAGGTTGATAATGTGTTTTGATGTTTCTAGCACAAGTATAAACGCCCTGAGAGGAAGACTTCAGATCTGCCTCAGTACCACTGTTCTTAGGCAAAAAAGCCCTGATTTTTTCCCTGATAACTTATTTTCAGAGCCAGAGATGTAGCAAATTGAGGCATTATTTGTATTTTAAAACGGAAAAGATTATTTTCCAAAACGTCAACTATCTAAAGAAAGGTTTCCATTGATAATAAAATTTGAAGGCAATATTCATGATAACGACTAGTTAGTAACTAAATAGTCTTTTTAGTGGTTTATATTACCGTGTCACTTTTCAGGGAGAACTTTTTGATGTGCTCTTGATTACAATATTGCAGATTCTCTATTGATTTAACTTCAATTATTTTTCAGATTGTGGAGTATTATACACCCAAAAAACAGTAAGAAACGTTTTCAAATGTGTATGTGCATGTTTGTGTATGTGTATATTTATATTAAACGACCAACAAAAAGTTAAATACTAACCACATTGAACTTATTTTCATAAAATTCCGAGAAATGATCGTTATTAATTTGAAACTTTCAAAGAAAGGAAGAAAGCAAATTGAGTTCAATAAACTATTAAGTAAAGATAATATAAAATTTTTAGTATAAAGATAGAGAAGTAGATATCCAAAAAGCATTTTTCCCAAAAATGTATCTCTTTCAATTTATAGATATTAGGAGGTTCAGACCATAGGAAATATTTGAAATAAAAAATTGTCTATTGCAATAATTGTCAAACACCCCTTCTATTCTGAAACTTCCGTAGCTGCAAATAATATGAATAAAAAAACTTACTCAGTTCTGCTGAGTAAATAAATACAATTAATAGGAAAAAATGATTTGTAGAGATTAAACGAATCGTATATATTAGTTTGAATATGTAATAATATGAATATAAAAACTTACTCAGTTCTGCTGAGTAAATAAATACAATTAATAGGAAAAAATGATTTGTAGAGATTGAACGAATCGTATATATTAGTTTGAATATGTAGCATATTGAATATTTATTAGGCTAAGGTTGGCAACATTGATTATGTTGGTGTAAAAATGTCATTCGTCATTCTTGTGTCAAGTAGAAATCTGGTAGAGAAAATAAAGTGTTCATATTGAAATTTTGAGTGTGATTTATTCAAAAGTTTTATCGGCATCTCGCTTGAGATACAACAATTATTTGGCGACGAGGATGGGATACTGTAAATTTAAAACCATTGTACAATTTACTTGCGAAAGACTCAAAATTTATTTGGAATGATGAGTGTGAAGAGTCTTTTTAAAATTCAAAATTGGAAATAGCTTCATATAAGGTTCTTGTGCATTTTGACCCAACAAAACCAAAAAGATTAGCGTGTTGCAAAAGGAGGCTTTGAGTGTATATTGGGCTGTCCAAAAATTTTATCAGTATCTTGCAGGAAAAAGGTTTGAAATTGTATCAGATCACAAGCCATTAGAAGCCCTCTTTGGAGAGTTCAAAAGTTTACCTAAGATGGCTGCAGGAAGATTGCAACGTTGGTCATTGTTTTTGTCAGGTTTTGACTACACTTTTCGATATATCAAAGGAACAGACAATGTCCATGCAGATTGTTTGAGCCGTCTTCCATTGAAAACAAATGAATCCTTAACTGAAAATTTTGATTATTTAAATTTTATGGAACAAATAGCAGCTATTAATGTAAATGTAGTACGCTCTGAGACTAGACGTGACCCAGTTGTAGGAAAAGTTTATGATTATGTTAGGTATGGGTTTCGTAATGAACCTGATGAATTGATGAAACCTTTTTATAGCCGTAAAGAGGATTGATAATGGTGTAGTTATGTGGGGGTATCGATTGGTAATACCAACAAAATTACGTAACCATTTATTGAAAGAGTTGCATGTGACTCGTCAAGGTATTAGCAAAATGAAGGCTAGTGCTAGGGCTTATTTTTGGTGGCCTTCTTTAGATAGAGATATGGAAACTTTCGTGAGAAATTGTAGGATTTGCGCTTCATCTAGAGCAGAGCCAGCTAAAGCAGTGTTAATACCGTGCAATCGGTCTTCATATTTTTATGAAAGAGTTCATTCTGATTTTCTTGGACCATTTCAGGGCAAAATGATTCTAATAATTGTGGATACTTACTCTAAGTGGCCAGAGGTTTTTATATTGAACTCAACTAACTCTACTCCAACTATTGAGAAATTCAAACAGGGTTTTGGTAGATTTGGTCTACCTAGGGTAGTAGTAACCGATAATGGTTCCCCATTTTGTTCTGAAGATTTTTCTAAATTTCTATGTTTGAATGGAATTAAACATAATACATCTCCACCCATCTACAAATGGATTTGCTGAGAATTTCGTGAAATCTCTCAAAATAGCATTGCAAAAAGGTTTGAAAAATGAAATCAACAAAAACGTTTCTTTGGAAACTTTAATAAATCGATACCTATTTCATTATCGCAATAAGGTTCGTTGTAGTACTGGAGTGACACGAGCGAGCTAGGTATTCAAGCATAAAAACGAGAAATAGATTGGATTTATTAAAGTCTAACTGTAATGAGAGATTTGATAAGAATGTTACTTATTATAGAGGAAATAGAGAAGAATCATTTGTAGAAGGTACTAGAGTACTGTGTAGGGACTATAGAAATCCAAATAAGCAAACCTGGGCGAAAGCTTCTATTGATGAAGTACTCGGGGATAGAATTTATTTATGTAAATTGAAAAATGAAAATTTAGTGTGGAAAAGACACCTGAATCAGATTTTTAGAGATAGATCTGAATCCGATACAGATGTTCTTGTCCCTCGTAAAGTTGTTGATAATGTATCTTTACCTGTAGCACATAAGTCAGAGGAAGATTTAGGCAATCTTTCTCTAGGTGAAAACGAAGTGGTGAACTCGAGTGAAAGTGAAATGTTATTGACTGATAGTAGTATAGAAAATAATGATGAGATGACTAATAAGGGTTTCATTGAAGAAAATGTAACATCTTCAAAATCAACTCCTGTAAAAACTATTAGTCCTAAGGGTATAAGATTGAATATTAACGAGCGCCCAAAAAGGCAAATCAAACCCCCCTGCGGTTAGATTTGTGAGGAGGATATGTAGCATATTGAATATTTCTTAGGCTAAGGTTAGCAACATTGATTATGTTCGTGTTAAAATGTCATTTGTCATTCTTGTGTCAAGTAGAAGTCTGGTAGAGAAATAAAGTGTTCATGTTGAAATTTTGCTGTGTGATTCATTCAAAAGTTTCACCATCATCTCGCTTGGGATACAACACAGTGGAAAATCTTTTAGATATGTACTGTATGACGGACTCTCATGTGCATATACGAACCATTATTGATAGCATTCACATCGAAATAGGAATAATGGGGGTGAGTATGAACATATGGACCTCCATTATACTATATCGATGATGGAAATGACGCAAACGTGGTGCGAATCTTGTGACACACCTCTGACAAACTTTCGCCGATTAGATGTATGCATTATTTGTAACAATGTCCCTCCACAATGAATTGTTATAATAAATATCATAATATTCATTATTGTCGTTGTTATTTTAATAATGAACCTTTTGATGGAGAAGAAAAGTCCTTCTCAAAGAAATATTATTGACACAGTGAACACGATAAACTAAAGTGTATTGTTAGACATAAATGTTTTTATTAGTAAGTTGATTTCGAATATATCTTCCAATGACTCGTGGGAAAGAGATAACACTGTAAATCGCTATGTTGATGTAAATTTGAAACATTTTTATTACCATTTTTCATGTTTCACATTGAAATTTGTATTGAACTTACCTAATATGATATGAGTAATCAGTTTTCAATAAAATAATGGCTCAGGTTGAACACTGCCCCAAATCACGCAGTATTCCGTATGCATCAACCAAATTATGTACACTCCGAGTAAACTAACGTAACCTACCCATTCTGATCATCATCGATAATGACTATTTCAGGATCCGGAGAATCAGCTATCACAATGATTTTTGGTGGGTCGGTAAATTGATTTTGTTCAATTTCTTCATCCACATACGGTTCCATAATGTCAGCGCTGGATGATTCCCGAAAGATCGGAAAAATTCATTCATTACATCAAAGTCAGCATTCGGATCATTTGGATCATCAAATAGACCATATTTGTCAGCGTCGAATTCAAATCCACGGCCCTCGGCCAAATCAATTGTGGTATCTGAATACCCATCAAAGTTGTTATCCACACCCGTTGAATTGATAATTTCAACTTGTTTACATTTTTCTAAAAGTGTAAATTATCATACATACCTCTAGAATATTGTAGTCCACTTTGCCAGCAGCATACATCAGATTTCCAGTGGGTTGTACTGTTCGAATTCGCAAACTCAAACTCAATTGATCCTCAATTGATTTTTTATTTATAATTCTATACTGGGAATAACTCTTTCCACTAAATGATATTGGATTCCTGGCAACATAACAACTCTTGCTATGACATTTGGATATATCAATTTCACAAGTTGGCCCAGTGTAGCCTTCTGGACACTGACAAGAGTATCCCACTTGAGATGAATCTGGTACACATAGTTTGAAAGTTGAACATGGATCTCTGGCACATTCATTTACAATGGTATCACATTTGTCTCCTCCATAGCCTTCCTTACAAATGCATTCCAGCCATGGACGATGTCTAGGGGACACAAAGCTTGTGACATCTGTGAAGATAGGATCAATAACATCATTTTCTAACACATAATGGTCCTGACAAATGCCATACAGGCAGTATTTGTCACTACATTCCAATCGAATAATTTCTTCTACAACTAATTTGGTGCTTTCCTCTAACTCATTCAATCTCACATTCAGTCCCTTTCGTATGGCATCGGACGAGAAAAAGCCACCATCAGATTTACGAACAGTGAAAAGTACATCCAAATTTTTGCTTGTGTAACGTTTTGATCTTGGTGATTCATTACTTGAGGGCTGTACACTAACTATCACCACATCATCAGACCTACACTTCATTGCATTCCTAACTGCTCTAATAAAACCTTTTCTATGGCTAAGAATGAATGTTTCAGGTCTAACATCGCGAAATCTCAGAGCAACCGAGTTCTCTAACATATCTTCTGATAGCAATTCAACACTTATTTTTACTATAGTGTAACTTGAGAATTTTCCATCGGTCACTGTAACGTTGAGGCGATAATTTCCAATATCCAATCTTGGCAAAGCAGTTAAAGTCCCATCTGTTTGATTTATTTCAAACAAGTCCTGTGTTGAATATGATGATCCAAATGTCGGCGACAACGACCAAGTCAGAGTATCATATTGATCTTGATCATTTGCATATACTTTTCCTATAACACCACCAGGATACTCCTCTAAAAATGAATTGATATTCACTTCTAGAGGTGTTATTATTGGAGGATAATGTGATTCTTCAATTATTTTTACTATTACCCATGTATCTGAGTACAGGGGAGGAATTCCATTATCAAATACTCTTATTTGTAATAGGTATGTATCTTTTATTTTGTGGTTGAATTTTGTTGCAGTTCTTAAAATACCATCTTGATCCAATCGGAAAGTGTTTCCATCATTTCCACTTCGAAAATCAAAAGTGTAAGGAATTGTGTTTGGAAAACTATCTTTATCCGTGATTTCAAATTTGACAACAGAGTATCCAATCGGCTTATCTTCCTATAAAGTGAAATTGAAATATAACAATAGAAAAAATCTCAAAGAAATATAGTACCTGAATAACTGCAGTATAATTAGGCATTGAAAATAATGGTGGGTTGTCATTCGCATCAGAAATTTCAATATTCAATAAACACTGACGAGAAAGAACTGGCAGGCCATTATCTTTAGCAAGAATTTCTATGACATAGCTTGATATATTTTCTCTATCTAATTCTGCAGCAACTGAAACATAACCTGTTTTCTCATCAATTTGAAAGTGTTCCATTGTATTTCCTTTCAAAATATAATATAACACCTCTCCATTTTTACCACTATCCAAATCTGTTGCAGTGATCTGAAAAAAAATACAATTACATGAACAAAATTGGAGTTATCCATGATAATAATAATATAATTTTCACACTATGAATTTCATTCAAGACGCGTTTCACTACACGGTAGTTTCATTAGTTGGACTGATACATCAAACAATTCTACAACGTATTTTATATAACGGTAGAGAAATACAAAGCTCAATTAGATGATTATACGATTATTATTATTTCTGGACACAGTTAACTAATAAATATGTTGATTATTAAAATTTCATTTACGAAAACATATTCGACAATTATTAAAGTGAAAAACTTCTTGTTGCTCATTTGAAGGAAATTTGAATTATTCGTTTTCAGAGATACTATCAGATAAACTTAAGTCCCTTATTTTATGTATCTGAAATGTCGTAGTCCATGTTGAAACCGTGGTTGTTCTCTTAAAGACTCAAGCATAGGTGGAATTGGTTCTCTTTTGTTCAAACATTTTTTTATGATCCTAGTAACGAAGCACCTACAAAACGCTCATATATACAATGAAGTTATCAGATAAAATTAAAAGACGACTAATAAATGAGCACATTAACATAGCATATAAGACTGGTAACTTCTCCATATTAAGAACAAGTTAAACATGGACAAAGATAACAAATCATTGGTCTACATAATAACATGTGGATCATGCCTAAAAATAAATATTGTTGTAAGTCATCCGCTACAGAAAATAACGCCGGCCGCCACTGGTAGCCATAAACCAATCGTGACATAGCTAAGAGCGCGCGAATGTACGATGTTCCCTGCCGCTCTAGAAGCAGAGAGAATAATGCAACCGATTCCGATGGAACTTTGGCGAAATTTCTACTGCATTCGATTACGATATATAAATGCTAGCCACGAGCATATCGACAGAGTCAAGTAGATGTTACAGTGCGGTACGCGAAGCGATCAGTAAGGCGATAGACATTCGAATACTAGTTGAAGTTTTATTTGAAGTGATTGTTGTATTTAAAGTGAAATTAAGTTAAGTTTGACTATTGTTCAGTGTAGTCAGTTATTGGTCAACCCACAGGGAAAAACGTAACAATATAGTTTTCACATTTTTTGAAGTCCTTCCTACAAAGAAATTTAAAATTTCTTGAATGCCTTCTCATGCAAACTTTGAACACAATCCATATGTTGGTTTGTAGGCACTTCATTTGTTATCTTTGTCTATATTTGACCTGTAATTCTTTATATGGAGGAGTTACCAGTCTTATATGCTATGATGTTTTATTTTGTTGGTAGTCTTTTTATTTTACCTGATGATTTTATCTGATGATTTTTCTGTATGTATATGAATGTTTTGTAGGTGTCTCAAAACGAAAATCTTCGGCCATAAAAGTTTTGAAAGGAAGTAAACCAATTTTATGTATGCTTGCCACCTTTAAGACAACAACCACGATCTCAACAAGGTCGACATATTACAAACAGAAAATGAAGAACAAAAATTCAACCTGCTGGAATCACTGGAAATGAATGCAAACATTAAAATTTCCTTTTAAACGACCAACAATAAGTTACTCACTCACCAGTTGAATTTGTTTTTATAAAATACCAATAATTAACATATTTATTAATTAGTATATGTTTTTTCAATGCTGCTATTTTGAATATTTCAAAACTTACCGTTTTGATGAGACTTTGAGCAATGAAAGGATATACCATCAGGGGTGCCAGGATCCTTGATGGTCTGAGCCATTTTCCAAAATTTAAAATTTTTCTCGTGCCGAAATTTAATACGTGTTTAAAACGTATGCAAAAAAGGTAACAGATATTTTTTACACAAATTATGTTTATTGAAAATATATAAATGTTAGGAATCACACGTTAAAAGGTAAGACCTCGTTAAGTTTTAGCTCGCACAAGTTTCTCAACTTCTGAGAGTTGTCGTTCGTATGGGGGCGACAGCTGATTAACGGAAAAACATATTTTAAAAAACAGATTTAACAGAAAGTACAAAATATGTGTATTGAATTTGAACATTATAAAAATTAAACACATTTATATTACTTTTCTTTTCTTGGTAATTCTTTGAGATGCTGATTAGTTAATTTTGACTGGTATGTTTGGATTTCACTTTGTTCTGAATATTGAAATAAATCGACAAGCAGCCTTTTTTGATCCAGGATACTTCGATTCTGGTACAAATTTCCAAAATTTAATAATTGACCTAGACTTATATGTCAATTGTAGAGCTTGATCTTCTTGCATCTTATTACATCTTGCATATTTCTAATTCTAATTTAGGTCATAATTATATTGGAAATGAAAAACTCATCTTGAATTATGTTAGTCTTAAACGGATTCAGAAAAAAGTTCTTGTTTAATATTAGAAAAAAAAATTTAATTCGAGAAAAATTACAAAATTACGCCAATGTTTATGTTCGTTCGTGCAGTTTTTGATGAGTCATATTATTGTTTGAAGGTGGTTGACAATGTTTTTTGGTGCATCATCAGTTCGGACTTTCATTGTTTAATATGATATTAAATTGATTTGAAATCCCTGAAATAATCTGTAAAAAATTAAAAAGAGAAATAACAATTATATTAAGCAAAAAACTGAAATAACAATGAAATGACATACAAGCAATACAAGGCCATTGAAAGTTCGCATTGCCGAGCACAAAAAACACACACAGCGAGGAGAAACCAGCAAATCCGGAATAGCAGAGCATGTTTGAACTCATCAACATAACATCAAGAGGGCTTAAGCTGAAATATTCCACAAGGAGGAACACTGGTTTTGGAGAGAAGCCGCATATATGTTGTCCAACAACGCATTTAGCCAAGCTAGCGTAGAGATACGTAACACATGGAAACCTCTAATCAAGCGGAACACGACCAACTCCCGGCAAACGGTCAGCTCCCGCTAAAAACCAATGAAGCGGAGAGAGGGAAGAAGGGATAGGTGAAAGCAGTTGAATGACCTATAAATAGTCAGATTTTGAAGGTTCAAGACCAGTTATCACCCGAAGACGATTGTGTAAAACATTTAAGGAGGTGATTCCTCATCGAAAAAAAGATAGGATCTTTCATATGAAGAAATTTCATTGGAGCATCCCTTGTTAAGATACAGCCCCTTAAAGGGGGTACATAAAATTTGTATAACACTTTTTTTCACAAGCACTGAAAAAGTTACAATATTGAAATTAACCTGACGTTTTGTACTACCAAAAAGACACTTAGCCAGTAATTTATTTGGTTTACCCCATGGTTGTAAGGGGTGAAAAACGCAATCCCTAAAATTTATTTCCAATGTAACTTTTTGTCTTATCATTTGTTTACCATTTAAAAACTTATTTCCGATAGCCTGTTTCATTCTAAACAAAAAATGTCTCTTGGTTTTTTGCCCAAAATAAACCAGTTCGCAGCAAAAATTTATTTTACGAACAACTACAGAGATACATCGTCATAAATGCGAACTGGATTTATTGTTATTTTGTAGTTAGTACCTGCATTTAACGATTAAAGGGTAATTAACAAAACTAATTTATTAATAACAAAACACACAAATGTAGAAATTATAGTAAATGTTCAATATGTCTACCTTCAGATATTACGCATGCGTCTAGACGTCGGCGGATTGAGCCACGTATTCGCTCAAATATTCCTGGAGTCTTCTCTGATTACCCTGCACGTATCAATGATGCGGTTTCTTAAGTCCTCTACATCGCGAACAGGAGTACGATAAATTGCAGCCAGTGAAAAAATACCACCATTGAAATGTATGCCCAAGAGGGATGAAAATCGTAAGATTTATTTAAACCACGAATACAGTGTCAATAAACCTCTGATTCATCAAAAGTCTAATTCTCCATACAAAACACAAATTGTGTCAAAATAACTCAAAGTTTAAAAATTGTATCTTCATATCTTTTCTTTCTAGATTATATGTGACCTTACCTGTATTATTTTTTCACCTATTTGAGAATCTTCTCCAACTTTAGCATTATAAGACTGTTGGCTGAAAACAGGTGCATTGTCGTTACAATCGGTTATACTTATGTTAACATTAGCGATATTGCTCAAAGGTGGTATACCACCGTCAATAGCCTGAATAGTTAGAAAATAGTCTTTGGCCCTTTCGAAGTCTAATGTATCAGATACAATTATGACACCAGTCGTACTGTCTATGCTGAATTTTTTATGTTCGTTTCCTCCTATAATTGAGTAGTGAACCTCAGCGTTTGCTCCAATATCTTTGGATGTAGCCAAAACTCTAACAACTTCTGTGCCGATAGCATCAATTTCAGGAACGATTGCAAAATAATGCGATTTTTCAAATTCTGGAGGATTATCATTTATATCTTGTACGTTTACAACTATATAGGTGCTGCTTGATAATTGCGGAGTTCCATAATCCACTGCCTGTACCGTTAAATTGTATTTAGATTTCATTTCTCTATCTAACGGTTTAGCAAGGGTAACTATACCACTGTCAGAAGATATTCGGAAATGATTATTGAACGAGTCGATAAATGAGTATTTGATTTTTCGATTAATTCCTGCATCATCATCAGTAGCATGTATTTTGGTAACTAATGTTCCAACTTCCACATCTTCATCTAATGATACTGAATAATATGGCAGGGTAAAAACGGGAGCATTATCATTGAGATCTAATATTATGAGTTCAATTTGAGATGAACATTCCCAGTTAGAATATTCTTTATCATGTACATTAGCAGTTAGTAAATATTTCGGTTGCTTCTCTCTATCCAAATATGTTGCCGTTTTCAAATGACCAGCTTCTTCATCTAAGTGAAAGTCTTCTGATCCACTGCCAGATAAAATATATTTCAGTTTAGAGTATTCTGGTCCATCCATATCAGTAACTTCAATAGACAAAATGAATGATCCAGGTAATATTCCCTCGGACAATGTCTTGTAGTATCGATGTTTGAGACAAAACGGAGGATTATCTGAAAAAAAATACATGAAAGTAAAATATCGTTACTACTGAAAAAGAAGTGAAGTATGCAGATTTTTGTATTTCACAGTTGTGACATGAAAAAATAACAAAATCGGTTGAGAATTTCCAAGTTAATGTACAAATAATCCTTTAGAAACTATGTGTTCAAAAACGAAAAAACTACATGTTGGATACAGGAATCTACAAAGGGTAGACATCTCTGAAAGAGCTTTTGCAGATGACATCATACAATGTCACGAAAATTTAAAAAATTTACATAAAAACTTAGAAGTATCGAACGAAGTATTAAAGAAAAATGGAATGGCAATAAATAAAAACAAAAGAAAATTTATGGTAATATGCGAACAGGCAAATATAAATATACAACTTGAGAACAAAAAACTTTGAACAAGTGAAAACTTTTGAGTCTTCAGGTGTAGAAATAGTTCACAATGGAAAACAAGAGAAAGAAATTAATAAATGAATAGAGAAAACAATCAAGCTTTATTACGCATACATTAATGAACAAAGAGGAAATATCTAGAAAAACAAAAATTAATGTATTCAAGTCAATATACAGACCTGTTCTTAAATTCGATTGCGAGTTCTGGGTACTAACACAACGAAAAAAGAACAAAATACAAACGGTTCCTTAGAAGAGTTAGAGGTGTCACGAAAAAAAAAAAAAAATAGAATGAGAAATACAAAGATTGTGGAAGACCTGGAAATAAAATAGGTGAGGAATTTTATCGAAACAAGGCAACTGAGTTGGTGGGAACATTTACAAAGAATGGCGAATACAAAGACAGGTGAAGAAGACATGGGAAGCAAAAGTAAATAAGAGAAAAAAGACCTAAGCAAACATGGATTGGAACACTTCATAAGGTACTAAAAATGAGAGGAATAACATGGACGGAGGCTAAGATATTTGCAAGAAATTAGAAAGAATGTGTAAAATTCGTAAACAAAACTATGTAAACAAGAAGCATCGTTGAATATTTGAACATATGACCCAACACCGCACTGCGGTAACAGAAAATTTGTTGATTGTGATAAACTTGATAACTAAACTTTCATGCATTCAAGTCAAATCAAATCAAATTTATTAATCTGAAGACCATAAGTGGTATAAGACATGTCAAAAATTTGGATTATAGAGACAAAAGCAAAATTACAGAGTAAAAAGTTAAATATTGAAATGATAAGAACAAGTACAGACAGAGTAGGTACACTACAATTTAAAAATCAATATCAAATATCAAAATATCAGATCGATAAAACTGTGAAAATGTGGTAAAGAAATGTTTTGGCTCTCTACTTCTCAATATCTTTATACAAAAAAATGTGGGAATCTTCCAAAGAAAGGAAGAAAACAATCAATTTCAAAATAAACTCACTACAATGATGTGTAGATCATGCAAAGAAGTAACTCTCTTAAAAACGACTTTTATATAAATATTGAATTACAGTTTGTCTAAAAGTTACTTACATAATGTACACATCTTTCTAAAGAGTTTATTCTGAAATTATTTGTTTTCTTCCTTTCTTTGGAAGATTCCCACATTTATTTGTAGAAAGCCAAAACCTTACAATACACCCTTTTCAACTGAAATTGTAGTATTCACGAGTACCTGTAGCACAATTGGTCCCACAAAAACTGTTTCTCCTATACACATTGTACCACAAATATAGAGAAACACACACAAATACATACAGACCCACACAAGTACATACACCTTTCTATTATTTTATTGTGACTTACCATTGGCATCTAAAATAGTAATCTCCAATTTGGTTACATCTGTGAAATAACCATCTGTTATAATCACATCCAAATTATAGAAAGGAACAGTCTCCCTATCTAACAGTTTAGCAACATAAACTTCACCAGTTTGTCTAATTTGGAAATGTGAATTGGGATCACCAGATACAATGTAAAAGTCAATTGTTGTGGATAAGTCTTTATCATTATCCACAGTATCAAGTGTCACTATCACAGTACCTGGTGGTGCATCTTCATTCACTGAAGTTTTGTATATAGTCTTTTTAAATTTTGTTGGGCAATCGTTATAATCTTTCAGCCGAATTATAACCCTTGTTCTGGTAGAATGTCGTGGGATTCCATTGTCATTAGCAATAACATAAAACTTGTGTTCCGACTTAGTTTCTTTATCAAGTTTAGCTATGGTGGTTATCCACCCTGTGTGAGTGTCTATCGAAAAAAAATTCGATGTTTCTGCTAAATCATTTGCGAAGTCGTATCTTACTTCTCCATTGTTACCCTGATCTTCATCATATGCCAATACTGAAATATAATATGTAGCATTATGAAAAAATTAATATCATGAAATATGCAAGCTTGCCTCTTAACACTGAGCTGCCTTCTTTTATATTTTCAGCTACATATAAAATATAAGTTGAACTTTCAAACTGTGGTGCATGATCATTTTCATCCTGTACCTGTAACATAATCTCTGCCAACGTAGCTAAGGGTGGGCTAGAGTCAGTTAAAGCTAAAACACCAATCAAATGAAATGACTGAGTTTCAAAATTGAGGGGCCTAGCAATAGATATTTGCCCAAGTGAATCAATATGGAATTGTGGATTTTCATTTGAATCAGAAATGATCTGAAAATTAACTGGAATATCTGGAACTATTTTCAAACGGGTAATGACAGTTCCTGAAATGTAATTTTGAGTGTGTAATTGTTACATTATATATTTTGGTATATTACCTGTTGGAGAATTTTCTGACAGAAAAAATTTTGCAACTCGTCTTTCGAATATTGGAGGAAAATCATTGGGACCCATAATTATAACATTCACTGGTACATCTGAATGTTTTTTAGGTTTACCTTTGTCACTAGCCCTAACAAAAAACTGAAAAACTTGACCAACTGAAAGAAAAAAAAGAAAAAAGTATTTTTCATGAGGTATTTCAAATATGACTCACCATGGTGATTAACAGTTGTTAATAAGTAAATATCTCCAGTAGTGCCATTGATTTCAAAAATATTTGCAATATCAGGTGACTTTCTATCATAAAGTGAGTATTCTATTTGTGCATTGATACCCTCGTCGTCGTCAACTGCTCTTACTTTAGTGAAGCTAATACCTTTGGTCAAGTTGGCATGTATACTGATTTTGTATTCTTTCAACAAAAACGTTGGTTCATTATCATTTTCATCTGTGACCTTCACTCTTACTGTAATGAAATCAGATAACCCACCGCCATCAGTTGCAGAAACCAATATTTCATATATATTTTTTTGTTCTCTATCTAATGAAACTTTGGTTGTTATTTTCCCAGTTTTCTTGTCAATAAAAAATAATTTATCCAATAATTCCGAACAAATACTATAACTTATAATTCCAAATTCCCCCATATCGTTATCGGTTGCCATAACCGTAGCTACTAAATAACCAGCTGGATGATTTTCTGGAACTTGAACATCTCTGATTACCTCATCAAATTTTGGTGCATGTATATTGGCGGCTATTAATTCTACTTTCAATTTTGCAAAGGTGGTGTAGACTCCATCAGAAGCAGATACATTAACGAACATAGTATGCTGTGAACCAAAGTTTTCTATATTAGTTAAAGTCATTATTCCTGTCTTTGGATTCATCGAAAATATCTGTTGGTCATTTCCAGCAACTATGGAATAGCGTAAGTTGTTTTGATCTACTTCATCAAGATCACTTGCATGAACCACTGTCATAAATTGATCTCTTTTTGCATTTACGGATAACCTACACGTATATGTACTTTGTCCAAATTTAGGTGGGTTATCATTCATATCTAGTACTGAAATAAAACAAATCAAATTAGTACATATACACAGAAGTAAAAACAATGGGAAATGATATTCACAAAATAATAATGATTTGTCTAAAAATTGATTGTTGAGCCTATTTAAAAATAATTTCTTTCATATATTATATAAAATCTACTGAAATGTATTCGACAATGTTAGAATATTATCGTGTGTTCAAAATAATCAAGCAAGAGTTTTTATGTAAAAATCTACTAAAAAACCACTCAGTTAAAGATTCAAATTTTACAAAATAGAAAAATACCAAAATAAACATATAGTCTAACGAAAAAAAAAAAAATACAAGAGGTAATTGGGAATCATAATTGATGGTCCTGAAACTGGATTTTGAAACACCAATGATGGTAATACGAGCAGAAGATTTTTTTATGCACTATAAACTCCTAGCAGAAATATTGGACCAAGTGGTCACAAAATATTGATACTGAAATATTGGGATTCTTTGTTCAAACTAAGTCAAACCATATGTAATTATATATTTGTCATCCAATGACACCGACTCTCTACAAAATATTGCGCCAATCCTCTTTTATTGAAAAAATCTGTTACCTTTAGGAATGATATAGAAAAGCTTGTAATTATGATGCCATAGTCTACAAAAATCCTTTTTTTTTCTCGAAAGGTGAAATAAATATGTTTTTGTGTCTTTCAAAGCTAAATTAGTCACAGGAGAGTTATAAATTTATGTTCGAAGTGGAAAACCTCATTCTAACCTATAGATATTTGGTAAAGTTTTTGAGAATAATAAGCGAGTAATCAACAGGACCCCAGTAAAATAATAATTTCATTTAGTGATCATCAAATTATAGAGACTTTAGGAATTACCGAAAAAACTTCAATTTTACGATATTATATGAATATTGCCTATCCAAAAGTTGCTATAGAAAATCCGGATCCGTATTTAGAGTTTCAAAGTTGAGGGTGTTCTAATGCGAAGTGTAAGTAAATTTTTAACATATCTGCATTTAATGAAGCTAGAGCAAATAAAAGAGCTTAAAAATTGTTTTTTTTTTCGTATATCTCCGGAACCAAACAAGTCAAAATCGATTTTTTGGTTTCATTAAATGTTCTGGAAAACAGTCAACTTTGTCACAATTTAACCTACTGCCTAGCACTTATAGTTTACGTGATCCCTATGCATAGACTCGAATTTGTATATTCCTATATATTCTCATATTGCTAACAATTATGTATCATTTTTTTGACGTATCAAAATCATTCAGTACGGTTAATTTTGAATTTCTTTTGCAAAAAATCAAAATGTCGAGTTTTTCTCATGAAATAATGAATTGGATAATGAAGTCTCTCATGATGAAGAAAAATATGTAATTTTATATAATGGTTCAGTTTCTAGTCCTCAGGCTGTAAAACTTTGTGTCCCAGGGATTGGTTATCGGACGCTCAATGTTACTGCTGTATGTGAATTATTTACCCCAAAATATATTAAATCGTCATCTGTTTATGGATGACAAAACTATAACCATCGCTTGTCTGCAAGAAACTGATTACATCATTTTTTACAGGAATATTTAATGACATTAGGAACTAGTATTTTTTTGATTGTTGATATATGTTTCATTTAAATAATGCATTTGAATATGTTTACATATGATCTGTGATGTGATGTTTGTCTGTATTTTTTATTATTATTTTGACTAACCATTTGCACATGCAACACCAGAATTTTCAGTGGCAATCATATTTTGACGGTTATTTTCATTTATATTTTGAAATGTATTATGTTTGCTACAAATAACTTTTCATTGTTTTATGAAAATTCATCTGAACGTGAACAAAACACAATATGGAAATATTTTTTGAATACCTCTGCACAGAACAACACTGCATAACAATTCCCTACAGTATAATGCTATCAGTCGTTATAACAAGCTTCCAAATGAGCTACTCATTTCACAAATTGAGTGAGCACACTTGGAGACTGGCTGTAAATCAAATTATCTAAAAGAACAATTCGTTCGGGCAAGTCTCAAATTACCTACACTGTAGGTTAATGGACTGACACCTATCAGAAAACAACTACTCTCTTGGTTAATACCAAGAAGGTCGTTGGATTATATCCGACAGGCGTCAGTGCAGGATTCTTCACTGAAGTTATTCCTGCATATGCTGTTGGCGATACAACTGCCGTAATCAATTTTCAATTATTGAAACACACCTGCAGACCGGTTTTTTCAGCCAACAGCAACACATCAACAATAGAGACAAACTACCTGAGTCAACATAAATACAACCTACGAACTAGAAATCACCAGCCATCGGTGAATCATCAAGATGAAAAAACCTCTGAAGAAGCCAGACACTCGTCTTGGCGAAACGTTGGGATACAGTTCCAAAGTACGACGGCCTTCAAACCCGAATGAAAATAGTAACACTGAAAATCTTGGCCGCGAAAGCCTTAACAAATTTTTCCCTTGAGAGTTTACAAAACCGCGACACGTGTTTCGCTATACAATAGCATTTTCGGGCGTCACAATAGTAAAGTCGATATATTGTGACGCCTGAAGATGTAATTGTATAGCGAAACAAGTGGAAATCTCACATAAAAGTGTTTTTTTAATAAGTTTTAACGGATTCTCATCAAGTGTCGGTCAGTTATATCATATTTTTTTATAAAAACAACATGTAAACCTATGAGACATTTCTTTAAAAACCCAAAAGTTAGGGTAAACCTAGAAAACCTAGGCATATATAAGATCGCATGTGGAGATTGTAGCGGAGAATACGTCGGCCAAACAAAGAAGCCAATATAAGTCAGATTAGAGGAACACAAACTCTCACTTTGCAATGAACAACCCCAGCCCTATACAAATACCACCTTGATGTAGGTCACAACATCGACTTCAAAAGCTGCAAACAGATTGCACCAGAACACCAGGATCATAAGGAAGGCAATCGAAATTGAGAAGATCAGCAGCTTAAACAAGAGAGATCATGCATACTACCTCTCAGCTGCATGAAAAACCATCATATTCAAAACTAAGGTCACCAACAGCGTACGCTTGGCCGGAACAATAATCAATGTGCCTTCAGTCGAGCGAGACACATCACACCTCTCCAACTAACCAGAACAGGACATTCCATGCCACAATTACAGTCTATGGCAGCTTATGAATAGGCAACCATCGACAAGAACGACATCAGTTTCAATTTCAGCTACCAAGCAGAGCACACGAATATGCCAAGTGCTATTTTGTTGAAACATCGTGATTGTATCAAGGACGGGATGTTGACATTCAACAAAACAAATTTTTCTTCTTCACTAATATCTCTGAAAACGTTTTGTTTTTTTTCAATTTTGGTACATGCAAAGTACACCTGAAACTGTGAAAGACTACGCCAGAACAACACTCTAGTGCTGTTCCGTGAATTCTCCTCTTTTCTGATTTAAATTATTAGTGGGAGAATGTAATGAGTTTTTCGAAATTAAAAAGAGTTGTTGAAGTGATAGTGTATGTATCAAGAACATGAAATGTGCACCTACCTTTCAACCAAACATGGGCTGTACTAGATATACTGGGTACTCCTTGATCCGTAGCAACTATAATAAGATGATGCATATTTGACAGTTCATGATCTAGAGAGGTTTTTAAAAATATTGTCCCTTCTTCCTCATCAATGTAAAAATAATCAGTGTCGTTATTGTAGTCCTTTTTGATAGAATATCTGATTCTTCCGTTTAGACCAGTGTCATTATCAACTGCAGATACTGTTAGTAAAGCTGTTCCTATCTGAGATGCTTCTGTAATGGATACTCTGTAACTTTCTTCAGTAAATTGTGGTGGACAATCATTGAAGTCTTGAAGTTCAATTGAGACGGGTACTTCAGAGGATATACCAGATACACAGTCTGTTGCTCTTACCAATAATTCATACTGTGCTTGTTGTTCATAATCCAATTCATCTACGACTGATATTACACCTGTTGGAGAAAAAAAAGGTGCATAATTCAATTTAAATACCTCTGTATATGAGTGAATTTGATATAAATAAATCAAATTGAGGATTCATGGACAAAGCTCCCAAAAATGCAAACTGCAGATACATGTTTTTGACATATTGGCACTCAACAGTACTTAGCCAAAGGCAAGAATAAGCAACACTTGATAGCAGGAAACAGCACAAACTTACAAAGTCATCAACAGAAGCCATTCACTCTTTATCGATCATATAATTATGAATTATTATTGGTGTACTCTACGCAATCAATTCCAAATTTATTGAAAAGTTTTGAAATAATTTAAACTCACCTGTATTGAAATCAATTGAAAATTTTTCCATTTCGTCCCCTTCAACAATGCTATAGATGAGTTTACGTGACAGTGGAGATTCAGCTTCTATAGAAATAGATAAAGGAGAATGTAAAGCAATATTTTCTGGAATACCAACAGAGTAGAATTGTTTCTTGAAAATTGGCATGGATTTGTTAATAACTTTGATGTGTACAGTAGTATCACTCCTACACGGTGTTATACCTGTAAAATAATATATATTGGTGTTACTCTTGTAAAATTCATTTCTATAATAGAGATATAACTTCACCTTTATCATACGCTGCAATTAGTAATTCATATTCCTTGTTATATCCTTGCAAACTCTGTTTGATTTCTATTTCACCAGTTTCTCTCTGAACCTTGAATAGTTCACCTTGACCTTTAATCAACTCGTACCTAACTTCTCCATTTTCAGCACTATCGAGATCTATAGCAAGAACTTTAGTTATAACGCTTCCCTTCTCAGCATCAAATGAAACAACCGCATAATAAGGCAAATTAACAAACATAGGACAGTTATCGTTGATGTCTAATACAGTAATATTCACTGGAACACGAGCTACTTTAATTTCAGAATGTAAAGATCTGCTTCTAGCTTCAATGATGAGTTCATATTTGTCTTGTAGTTCTCTATCAAACTTCAATCCTGTTGTTCGTATCACTCCAGAAGTAGGACCAATTGTAAACATATCTATTGGGTTCAAAATTCGAAATTCCAAATGTTCATTCAGAACACTGCCTAGCACATTCACTACACAGATATAAGAAATTTTGGTTGAATTTTCTAATACAGAGCCCTCGTAAAAAGATTTCTGGAAGACTAAACTGGAATTTTCTACTTTTTCTGTACGGATGTTCACTTTGGCTACATTGGAAAATTTACCATCGGATACTCTAACATGGAGTTTATGAAATGATTTTAGATTTTCGGGCTCTAACAAAGTGACTTGTCCTGTTTTCTGATCGATTTTGAAAGTTCCATGTTTATTTCCCTCAATGATATCGTATCTTAAAACTCCATTTTCAGAACTATCAAGATCTGTCGCAACCACTTTTATGATTTCTATATCTTTATACGATGGCAATAAGAGTGTTACATTGTATACAGACTTAGAGAAAATTGGTGAACAATCATTAACATCGGTTACAGTGATGTTAACTTCAGCGGTAGTATCTGAAAATAATCTTGGCTTTCCCAAATCAGAAACTTGCACATGGAAAATGAAGTTGTTGAAGGTTTCATGATCTAACAATCTTGTAGACTTAATAGCACCAGTATGAGGATCAATTTGAAAGTATTTTCTAGAATGAGATTCGATTATTTCATATTGCAGTAAAGCATTCCTTTCAGAATCTTCGTCAAAAGCTTTCAAAACTAATGGTTCACTTGAGTTCGTTAGTACCAAAGTTCGTGCTGGGGCAGATTCACTTATGAAACCCAAATAGTGCAACTGGAGGAATTTTGGAGGATTATCATTCCTATCCAATATATGAATTGCCACGTTACAGGTTGCTGAAATCGAGGCCTGAAAAATAATACGTAAGTATACATAAACGTAAGTTAGGTATATAAAATAATAATAAAAAAAATCATTGCTGTTCTTTATAATTTAATTGAGATGTGTGTGAGTGTGTGTATATATCTGAGGATCCTCAGTCCTCGTTTGAGAGTAGGCCATGTGAAGACCAGTGATAAAAACTGGACTTCCGATTTGGACTGCATGTCCAAATCGGAAATCTCTCCTCATTTGTTAAACGGCCGCGGGAATTCATCATTGGGATGTTTAGGACAACTGTAATGGAACAAACACCCATATCGAAGGGAAGTTAACTTGACCACTGAATTCTTAAGAAATTTGTTTAGGTAAGGTACAAATTACTTAAATACTAGGAAGTTTAGGTAGGAAGAGACACATATAGACTGAAAAAAGGATNATTTAAAATGTTTATTGTAACCATGATTGTATTATCTGAATAAAGTTCTTAAAAAAAACACAAAGTGACAATATAGGAATGTAGGCTTTCACAGCTGGCGTCAATTTTTTGGTTGGTTTCCGAGTTTTGCCGTGGTCTTCTTCGGTTATAATATACAAAAGTTTCAACTGCAACTCAACTGAGTTTCAGTTGATACGTCAAGAAGAGTACTTCGACCACGCCACTGAAGATGGCTGCCGCAGTTCCAGTTGAAACTTTTGGACATTATAACCAAAAAACACCACAACAAAACCCGAAAAGCAAACAAAACATATAATTGTTTATTTAAATTAGTTTCTGGGAAGAGTGGGGAAAACTTCACCTAACTTTGAAATTGAGGAAGAGGAACCTAAGATAGTTTCAGTGACGAATATCTCAAACTTGAAGTCTTTTCAATATTAATGGACTCGCTATTGAAGATTCAATCTTCTCGTTCACGGCATTGTAAATAATCTGATATTGCTGACTTTGCGACTATTGAGATTTAACAATTTGTTATGTGAGCACAATCATAAATGTCATAACCTCACTTGTTTTTGCGTGCACCATGACAACTCTCATTACTTTATGAACAGACGTTGTTAATTTGTTTATGAGTTATTAATGGTGTGAATAACACGATTTTACAACTTTTTTTTGTATATTAGAATATACACAGGCCGTTTTTCAATTGATAACACTATTGCTATATCTGAAATTGTAGGTCCTACAAGGTTAGTTGCCTTTATGAAGATGCAACAAAAAGCTAATATCTTCAGATGGAACAGTTTTTGAGATTTTTCCAAAGACTGAAAATGACAGATTTGGTTTTTTGCTATAGCCCCACCATTTTCAATAGTATCAAAAAGGTGTGAAGGAAATGTTTGGCTTTATTTCATGTTTGTCATAATCTGATTGTACCCAATTTTCAATTTTCATATTGATGACTTGAAAGATTCAATGAATATATTTTCATAAACTACACCTCACAATTTGATCTCCATAAACTTTGTGGATCTTCATCAAGTAATGGCCGAATCAATCAGAAAATCAATGAATATAGCCTGCATGCCTTTAAATTCCCAAATGCAAGAAAAATGTTACAAGCACACTATTTTTAGGGTAAACATTTGTTTGAGGAATGATGCATTTGATGCAATAATGCGTGCTATGGTAACTTAAAAAATATTACATGAAACATCCGGTTATGATGTTCATTTTATAGTTTATTATTACATTCATTCTTCTTTGAAACTGTCTTTTCTTTATTGTGGTGAATCATGATTCAATAACTATGTATCTGCAATAACAGTCGGAAATTTGGATTCTTGATTATAAAATTATAATGGAATATTGATGTTTTTGAAAAGAAATGTTGAGAAATACATTCTCAAAAAATTTTCTAAATTGTTATATAAAAAAAGTTTACTTATTTGGTATCACTTAAAAATATTTCTAATACCTCTGCTATTGTTGAAAACAATGCCAGTTTCACTAACAGAGAGGTTTTTTCTCATTTGTAACAGAAATTAGAAGGCAAATGTGTCTTCTTATTGATCAAAAACATCTTTATACTATCAAATATTTTCAAGGCCCTATATGCAAAAGAGCCGTTTTCTACCCATTGAGTAACACAAAATATCTTTGAAAATATATTGCCCTTGGTTGTACATGAAAAATTGTTGGGGAGCACCATGTCCATGTGGTCCACATGATCCTAATCTAATAGATTCAGAAAATTATAATTTTGTGGAATTCCTTGATGATTTTCTTTTTCCATTTATGAATGCAGTCTGTTTAATATTTACTGTTTATTTAATTTTCAATCCATTAAATGATTTATAAGATACATTATATTTATACAAGAAATGACTGAAATCAGAAAACACATTTCCACTGTAAGAAATGAAGACTTACCATATTTGTAGCCATCACAGATAAATTGTAGGACTTTGTGGACTCGTAGTCTAGGTGTTTCATTGTTGTGATAACTCCTGTATTAGGACTTACTGCAAAAGCACCATCTACGTTACCAGATAATATTTCAAACTGTAAGGATGATGTACTTCTAACATTGAAATGTGCTACATAGCTGAAAAGTGGTTGATCTTCATAGATTTCAGCAACAATTTCTTTAGTCATGAATTTTGGAGGTTCATTGTCGGACATTGTAATCATTATATGAGCAGGTACTGTAGAAGAAAGTGGAGGTTGACCATGATCCGTTGCTTTAACCTGTAGGGTATACTCTGTAATGGAGGTAAGATCCAATTCTTTTGCTGTACTGATAATTCCTAGTTCTGAATCAATGTTGAATAAGTTTCCAACATTTCCAGAGATGATGGAGTATGTAAGTCGAGCGTTCTCCCCATTATCATGATCGACGGCATAGGCACGAAGAACGGCACTGCCTATGGCTGCCGACTCAAATATTTTTCCAACCAAAATTTTGTCAGAAAACTGAGGACTATGATCGTTATGATCGTGAACAATAATTTTTACGCGGGCAAAATTCTTTTTTGCCGGAGTTCCCCCATCCCTTACCATGACTGTTAAGATATGTTCACTCAAAGTTTCCCTGTCTAAACTAGCAGCTAAAGATATTACACCAGAAATTGAATTGAGCATAAATGTTCTTAGTGATATGCTATTTTCTGCTGAGTGAAAACTATAGGTGAGTTTTCCATTCTGATCCTTGTCTGTTGCCTTCAACTTCAAAATTTCGGTATATAAGGGTACCGATTCTGATATTTCCACTTTATACATACTCTCGGTAAATGAAGGTCTCTCATCATTGATATCCAGCACAGAAACATTCAATACAGTGTAGACGGTATTTATTGAATCAGTTACACTTATATTAAGGTAGTATTCATTTTGTACTTCATAGTCTAGCTTTTGAGCAATTAATATATTTCCCATATCTTTTCTCACATAAAAATCGCCACGTGAATTACCACCTGAAAAAGGAAACGTGTCATACAAAGTTATTTTTGCAAAAAATGATTTGTGTGCAGAATATTACAAATTTTTTTACACATCCGAATGAACAAAAATAAACGGTAAACAGAATAAATACCTTTTTTTTAACGAAATTTATATATTGAATTTGAAGAAATATAATGAAGCTGTATAAAAACTTTCCTGTCTTCGTATCAAATTATTTTTAGTCTTCATAGTTTATAAAGATAAATATGCTCAAGAAAATACCTATTTTCAAAGATTCAATTTATTGAATTTTATATAGAAACTGTTTAACTTCTGATCAGGATTTTTGATTTTTTTCAATTATTGATCTTGAAAATGCTAGGTCGAGATAAATTCAATTACCACAAAATTTCTCAGGATCTTCTTGCCATGCCAGGTTTTCTTTAATAATTATAATAATAATAAGCGTAACCTCTCTATGGCCTGGATCGATTACCGTAAGGCATTTGATACAATTTCAGATGCCTTGCGGTACCCGAAAACATAGTGAGATGCATTGAACACTTGATACCACTTTGGCGAACTCGCTTCACCATAACATCTGGTCAAGCAAGAG